GACATAGCAAATCGTGCCAAAAAACAGGTTATATATATAATAAATTGTAACTCATAAATAAGTAAATATTTGTCAAATAGCTTCAGTAAAAAAATGAATGTAAACAAACATATGCACAAATGTGTGCTTTATATCCTTGAAAGTCTCTTCATAGTTTCTGTTCATGTAAAATGTGTCCCTGAAGGAAGAGTGTAACCTGAAATAAAAGCGTGAACTATTCTAGTGAAGACTTTATCTTTGACCATGTCTCATGTCAGTGATGATCACTTTCAGTCCAGACAGCTGCTTATTACAATAATTCAATAAACGCCTTGTTTTATTTGCAGCATTAGGTTAAGGCAAGTGTCTTCACTCAGACTTAAATCTTAATAAAATTAATACCATCACAAATCGCTTGACACACAAATCAATGATGAAATTTGTCGCCAAAAATTTTAATAATGAATTTTATCAAATTGTTTTTGCAGACCTAAAATTTTGTTTTAATTTGATTGTTTGTTTTTTAGCTCGGACTGTAGAGATCCAGAGCAGAAGACCGAGGACTTGGCTATAATAAAATCCAGGAGTGCCRTTGTACTTGATCACAGATCCACCTGCCAGGAGAAGACGTTCAGCTGCTCATCTGAGTCAACATAAAAACTTCATGAGCGAACGGCAGGAAGAAAACTGGAGCGTAATAAATTATTTTCTTTATTTTGGGACCTGAGATGGAAACACTAACTGATTCCTCAGTGTATAATTTAGTGTAATAAAGACCTATAATTTCCTGGAATACACATCACCTGATGCCTTTAATAAATTTGTTTTTCACTAAATGTATCTGATGGTGAGAAGGAACAGTTGTAGCTGTTTTGGTCAAACCTTGTAAATAAATTTGTATAATCTCAGGCATTGTGCGATTTCACATAATGTCACGTGTTGAGGATGATTCTCAGCTACTACCACATCAAACCTTAGCTCTGTATCTGCTAAACTCACTGGTTTAGCCATTTTTGCGTTGGCTAATTGATTAGGTGTGGTGGCCATTTTAAATTGGACTAACTCCAAAAGTTAATTTAAAAAAACTGCTAAAACTGTTGTGTGTTAATGTGCCTGAAGGTGGCAGTGTTGTCACAGTGTCACTATCATTCTGTAACTGTAAATGCTYCATAAAATAAACTGTACAGAAGCAACACGAGCTGTGGTCATTCATACAGTATGTGCATACAACACTATCATATTTCATAAAGTGACACCCTAATAAAGTGTGAGGTGTGGGAGAAGCCTGTCACTGCAGTGCTTAGCAGRATGACAGGTATAATGGGGTCTCTGCAGAGTTTTAACACAGCCCCCCTGCCAGGTGTGTGACTGCTAGGAGCTCCTCTGGGGATCCCCGTGGACCCACTCGTGTCTGAGCAGGCTGCCAGCATCACTCCCTGCTGAGCTGACAAGTCACCCTTTTTTTTTATCTGTCTGTTGGTTTTAGCTGGATTTGTGCTCGTCTGTGTGCACRTGCTGATTGCATGCACCTGATTTTACACAGCCATGCTTATTCAGAGGTAGGCTACTGCGGTGGCCACTAAACAGACTGAATGCCAGCTGACACATCKGCACGGATAATTAAATAAGCTGTTTGACTCTGCAGCTGCTGAGCAGTTCATTATGAATCCACTGAAGCAGGATGCGCCATCTTTCTGTTACTCATGTTAAAGTGAACCAGGAGCAGCCAGGTGGATAGCAGGAGCTAATAGCAAAGATAGTTTTTTTGTTTAGTGAATTAGCCTTTGTTTGTTTTTGGTTTTGTTTGTTTTTGTTTTTTTGTTTGATTTTGGGCTAACTTTGGAAACCATTAGCAGACCAATTAGCTTCCGCTACTAGTTTAATTCAGCTAACTATAAGTCCGCTAGCTACGACGGAGTACTATTAGGGCCACACGAGATTTAAAAAAATTTTTTTTACGAGAATATTATAACATTAAAGTTGTATAAAAATAAAGTCATAATATTATGCGAATAAAGTCGTAATATTACCAGTTTAAAGTCGTAATATTACGAGTTTAAAGTCATAATATTACGAGTTTAAAGTCGTAATATTACGAGAATAAAGTCATAATATTACGAGTTTAAAGTCGTAATATTACGAATTTAAAGTCAATATTAGGGGAAAAGGTCATAATATTGTCTTTACACGAAAAAGCATGCCGTTACCAATGCATTAAAATGAGGAATATTGAGCAACTTGTCAAGTTGTTCTTTAATATTGCTTAAAATAAATAGTTAATCTTTTAGCA